GGGCCAGATACTTACGAAATCCTATGAGTTCTTCCATCACCAGGCTCCTGATGGCCTGGTGCCCAGGGCTTGGCTTTGAGTCATCTGCTCTGGGGTTTGGCAGGGCTGGGACAGGAAGTTCACAGCCCTCGGTGACACTAACCCAGGCTGACTTGGAGGGAGGCCAGAGTCCCTGGTTGCATCACCACACACCCACGGAGCACACCTGTGCACAGATACGTGAGGATGTGGCCGGGGAGAGGATGTGATATGTCCAAGGTTTCAGGGAATGTCAGTGTCAATGTAGGAATCCAACCGTGGCACATCTGTTCATTCATGAACACAACTGCACAGCAATGGAGCCAGGCTGCACTTCCACATGTCGCTGGGCCAGGTCTGAAGCCCAGCCGTTTACCAGCTGTGTGAGCTTGGGAAAGCGACTTTGCTTCTCTGAGCCTCATCTTTACTTATTTGCACATAGTAGATGCTCAATAGATGTAGCTGCTGAAAAAGATAACCAATAGCAGGGGAAGTCCAAGTACACAGTTACCAGTATGTCTACAGACATACATCATCATAATGTACACGTCTGTTGGTGTGCACGTAAATGTATACTGGTGCACACCTAGGCATGTAACATGCTTATCAAGGGGCTTGTATAAGGCCGCCCAATTTGCATATGGATGCACATGTCTGTGAGGTCATTTGGGCTGATCATTTTTTCCAAACAATGCACACTAGTAGAGTGGTTTTCCGGAGGATTTCCTGAGCTCTTGTCATGGGCAGGATTTGGTGCTTATCTAGGTAGACATGCATATGCTTGCCTGTGTCTCTGTGAACCTGTGTGAGGGGTAATGAGTACGACCCCCATCCCTTATCAGGTTTGTCAGTTGGTAGAATCTGTGAGGATGGTGTCACCTCTGTATCGATGGTTTGGGGCATTCTGAACCCGGATTGTTTGAGTTCAAATCTCACCTGCATAACCTTTGACAAGATGCTTAAACATTCTGTGCTCAATTTCCTATTCTGTGCCTTGGAGATTCTCTTCTCTCTCTAATGACGGTCTGATGACTAACAGGATGAGTTGTGTGAAATACTGACAAGTGCTATTCCTCTGCGTCTGTCCTCTGTGATAGATGATTTGCCTTCTGTTACTGCTCGCACCCTATTAGATCTCCATTGCCTCTCTGCTGGACCGTCCTTTCCACTAGCCTGGGAGGCCCTGGAGGCCAGGGCCATGTCGAGTCATCCCGTTATAACCTGTGCACTGCCTGCTAGTCCTGACCCTCAGACTTCTCCTTCATAACACTGGCTGGCATTTACAGGGCTCTGCTGTGTGCCAGGCACTGTGTTAAGCTCGTTGGATCTTCAAACAATTCCAAGAGACTGGCATCTTTTTTGGCCCTATTTTAGAGAAAAAGAAACTGAGGCTCAGAGAGGATAAAAATTCCCAGGCTCACACAGTGGCTTGAACCTGGCAGACCGCCTCACTCTCGGCCTGATCTCTGCATAAGATTTGAGATGAAGAGTTTAGGGCGTGAATGTTGCATCGCCTTCTTAGTGTTCTCTCTCTCTCTCTCTCTCTCTCTCTCTCTCTCTCTCTCTCTCTCTCCACATCTCACTAACATCTGTCCCATATGACTATCCCCACGTTTCTCTTTCTCAGCTTGGGACACCTCAGCTCCCCGCCCAGGCACAGCATCCCCAGAGGCCAGGCAATGCTCCATACCATTCCTTCTTTGGTCCGGTTGGGGGTGAGGTGGAGGAGCTCCCCTGAGGCTGGTCAGTAGGGAGGAGAGCGGGAATGCAAGACTTAGCAGGAGCAAGGGGCAGCCTCTGGGGAGTGTGGGGTTGGGTGCCCAGGCTCTGGCATAAAAATGGAGCAGAAGGTGCCTCCCTCCCCACCTCAGAGAAGGGAGGGAATGCAGGATAGAGGGAAAAGAACTTCCCTCTGAGGTCGAAGAAGGTGTCAAACTGCTGAGCTGCCACCGTTTTGAAGGACACCAGAGGGTGCCCTGAGGCAGCTAGGAGCTCTGTGTCTATTTAGTCCCCCCATGTGCCCCTGGGTCTCCAGGGGCCACCAAGGCCCAAGGTCTTGTGTATTCTGCCCTTGTTGGGTGGGGCACCTTATAAATGTTAATTAGGTCAAGTGGGGTGATAGTGTTGTTCAAATCTTCCCTAACCTTACTGATTCTCGGTCTACTTGTTTCATCATTTATTAAGAAAGTATTGAAATCTGTTCCACGGCCTGGAAACTCAGGGAAGTTGACTGGGACAACTGTAGAAATGAGGAAAATTTATTCTCGTTCATTTATTTCCTGGCCCATTCTTTGGTTCTTTCAAGTGGGAGAATAAGCCTGATTCCTATTACTCCATCTTGACCAGAACAACTGTATTATTTTTAACTTTTGGGGGGAAATAATTTTAGATTTATAGAAGAGTTACTAAGACAATACAGACAGTTCCTAGATGCCCTTCAGCCATGTCTCCTTGCCTTTCCTTATCTTTCGTGCAACATTCCTTACTGTGGCATGCAATTTATTTCTCTCAATCCTTCTGTGTCTATTAATGGAAAGTCTTCTGTTTTAAAGATAAATCCCTCTCCCCATTTATTAAATGCATTCAATCAAATAAATTATTTTTAAAATTTTAAAGAAATATGTTTTAGAACGAAATATACTCCCATGGTTCAACATTTTAAATGGGAGTCTCCCTCCCATTCCGGTCCCCTCCCCAGGGACAACCAAAGGCAATAGAGATTTCACACATGCACCAGCAAGGTCCATACATCTTCTTTTTACACAAATGGTTTAGAAGAATTCTAAAAATGCTGCACCTTGCACCCTTTCACCTAACAATATCACTTAGCAGTGTAGCTCAGTACATAAGGCGCTTTTTCATTCTTTTACATAGTGTTCCAGTGTGTAACTGTACCAGGATTACTTAGTCCCCTGTCAATGAACATCTAGGTTGTTTCCAAATGTTTTCTGTGACAAACCATGCTGCCATGTCCAACATATGGAATTGAACCTATAGATAGACCCGCCCAAGAGGGAGGGGTCAAAGGGCATGGGTGTTTCCCAGGTTGGTATTGCCACACTGCCTCAGGCTGCTCCAGCTTACAGCCTGCTTCCTAACAGCTTACAGGCTGTACAGAGGACCCCATACTGTGTGGCTTAAAACAACAAAAAATTATTCTCTCACAGTTCTGTAAGCTAGAGGTCTGGAAAATTTTGGCTTTTACTCTGAGTGAGGTGGGAGCCATGGGTGGGTACTGGGCAGAGGAGGGACAGGACCTAAGTTGTGTGATAACAGGATTTACCTGGCTGCTCTGAAAAGGTTAGACTTGGGGGATGGAGAAGCAGGAAGTGAGGGGGCCAGGGAGAAGCTGGTAGGTAACCCAGATGAGAAGTGATGGTGGCTGAGGCGAGGGAGCTAGCTGTGAGGTTGGGTACAGGATGTATGTCCAAGGTTGAGTTGACAGGACTTGCTGATGGGTTGGATTCAGGCCGTGAAAGGGAGGAGTCAAAGATGACTCCAAGGTTTTGGCTGGAACTACTGGGAGGCTGGAGTTGCCATGCTCTAAGGCAGTGGTTCTCAACCTTCTGGCCCTTTAAATACAGTTCCTCATGTTGTGACCCAACCATAAAATTATTTTCGTTGCTACTTCATAACTGTCATGTTGCTACTGTGACGAATCGTAATGTAAATATCTGATATGCAGGATGGTCTTAGGCGACCCCTGTGAAAGGGTCGTTCGACCGCCAAAGAGGTCGTGACCCACAGGTTGAGAACCGCTGCTCTAAGGTGTGGACAGCACACGGGGTTTATTAAGCACTGAGAGCGGGGCCTGGGCGCTGGTGAGTATAGCTAACCCATGGGTTAGCTGTTCAAATGGCTGGAAGAGATTCCATCCCTGAACTGTCCTTGCCCTCCTTCCCTCTCAGGGATGGGGCAGTAGGTTGTCAAGATGGCTGAGAACTTTCCTTCCCATCCAGCAAGCATTTAAAGTCTCCCTCAGGAAGCCTAGGCAAGTGGCTTCACCTCTCTGACCATGAGTTACCTCACCTGTAAAATGGAGATAACCACCTCCTTTCTCGTGAGAAACGAATGAGAAATAATGGACTTCGGTGCCCAGCACTCATGGCAGTCTCTTCCTCCCTCCCCACGCCCCAGTGGTCAGGAAGAAAAGAAGCAAAGTCGGTATCCACCCCAGCTGTTTATTGAATAGGAAGGTGGGATGGAAGAGGTGCAGAATGGGGAGACGATCTGGGGCACAAGAGCAGCAGGGCCTGCCTGGTGGGGGAGGACTGGGGATACCCACCCCTCAAGGTGGCCTCAAGGCTGGTGGTGACAGGGATCCCAGAGGGTAGGGGCAGGGTCCACGGAGGTCTCTTTCCAGCTGTCTTGGAGCTCCCCCTGGTGGCAGAGAACGGAGATGCTGCATCACCTGTGGGTGATGGTTTCTGTGAGAGGGACTTTTTATTATTATTTAATGTCTATCTCTCTCTTTTTTAAAAATATATTTTTATTGATTTTAAGGAGAGGAAGGGAGAGATAAAAACATCAATGATGAGAGAACTACCTGGGCATGTGCCCTTGGCTGGAATCGAACGCAGGACCCTTCAGTCCGCAGGCCGACGCTCTATCCACTGAGCCAAACCAGCAAAGCTGGGTTGGGGACAGCCTAGTTCTCCTGCCCCCTGGCCCTTAGAGGCCATTTAAGTGCGTGTTCAAAGTATTTTCTTAGCCACCTGGGACACCAGGCTTCCAGCTAGTCTCTTTGGGCTGAGCCTGTCCCCAACCCCTGGGAGGTCCCAGGAAAGCCAGAAAGACGCAGGGCCCTGCTACAGCTATAGAACAGGAGCTGGCCCGTGAGGAGTCAGGAGACGTGGAGCCTGCAGGCGGCCAGCCCCCCTCCGCGCCTCATCTGTACACTGGAGCTAGTCGGGATGGGGTGGATAGGGAGGAAGGCTCTGATGCCAAAACGCATGAAGAAAACAGACCGTAGGGAGCCACTGTTTCTGCGCCACCCTGGACAGGAAGTCCAATGAGCATCTTTGACTCATCCTGAGGCATCCTGTGCAGCTGAGAAGAGGGTGGGGTCAATGGATGAGAATGACACCCACGTTTGCCTATAGAGGGTAATGCTTACATCAGGGGAGAACAGGAAAGTCATGGGACTCGAGAATCTGGCCCAAACCCCTTTTACTTCAGAGGCAGGAACTGGTGGTCTGAACAGGTAAGGGGCTTGGCCACAGAGAGAAAAGCGTGGGGACAGGTTGAGGAAGATGCTTTCTGCCCCTGAAGACCCTGGGGTAGGAGGGGTGGCGGGGAGTTCTGAGTGGACTTGGGGATGGTTGGCATCTTGGATGAGTTGGGCCCTACCCCCCGGGAATGGGCATGAGGATGGAGCTCCAGACTTCCTGACCTGGAGCTCACCCTTTTGGAGGCGTAGACAGAAGGGTCCCTGCTGAAAGGGAGACGTTAAGGAGACGATGGGATGTGGTGAAGAGGAGGAGGGGTCCGGTCTCTGGGTCCGGTGCCTCCTCCAGCTCTGCGGGCAGCTCAAGAGCTCCACTTCGGCTGGATGGTCTGCACGGAGGATTGCCCAAAGGCGCTGGTGGGCGGCGAGAACCACGATTGGCCACTGGCATCACAGTAGATGGGGGAGAGCTGCTGCTCTGACTCGTCCCCAAAGACCTCCACATGGCTGTCCACTTCGGTATACAAAGGCTCTGCCTTGGTGTCCTGGCTCAGCCAGCCTGTCATGGCCCAGAACAGGCAGATGGCCAGCAGGACCCCGGCGGCAGCGCAGAGGGCCGTGCCTGCCAGGCGGCAGGTGCCCAGAGCCTGGTTGTAGTCAGCTGCCCGCTGATCCAACACCAGGAACTCGCCCTCTCCAATGCCCTCCAGCTTGGGGGGCACGGCATAGCCAGTGGTCAGGGCTGCCACACCCAGCAGCAGAAGCAGGGTCCCCGAGGACAGGCTGATCTGGAGAGAGGCAGACAGATTGGGAGGCAGTCAGGGCCGGTCTGGGGCCATAGGTCAAGGGATCCCTAGTGCACCTTGGATCCCAACTGGATTTCACGGTAACCCCTTAAGAGATGGGAATCACGGAGCACACCTGCTAGGATATAACACTGTCATGTTCTACTTGGAATCTTGAGACCGCTTGATTAATTTCCTTCCCAGCTCCCACCTAGCAGTGGGCTTCCCTTGCCAACCTGAGTCCCCCTCCGTCATTATGTGGGTCTTATCCCCAGTACCATCTACCCTCTATCTCGATCTCTCTGTCTGGTTAACTCCTACACATCCCTCAGGTATCATCTCAAGCCTCACCTCCTCAGGGAAGCCTTCCAGGGCACCTCTGCACTGGGTCAAGTCACCTGCTCTACACTCTGCAAATGCTCTGCCCATTCACTCTCCAGTGTATCACCTTGGTGCACACTAGGATACGGACTTTGGTTGCTATGTAAGTGATGTCGGCCTGCCCCATCAAATGGAGAGCATGAGAGCAGAGACTGTGTCCATTCTGGCTCACTAGGTGTCTTCCACACCTAGCCCAGTACTAGGATAGCGTCGCAGCTGAGTGAATATTTGCAGAATAACTAAATGCACCACAGTTAGGAGCTCCTTGAGGACAGGAACCACGTCTTCTTCAGTTCTGTGTCCCCAAGAGCCTAGCACACTGCCTGGCAATTAGACGATGCTTTAAAAAATGTGAAAAGGTACCGACTTTCCTGGAAACCTTCCCTGATCGCCACAGGTGCTGAGAGCATTTCTTCTCCCGGCATCCTCTGCACACCTGGCCTGAGGTTGTGATTCCCTCTGCACAGGTTGGCACCTGACCTCTCCATTAGAGTAAAGCCTCGTGGAAGCAGAGGGGAGGGAGTCTCTGCCTCAGGCTTCCTATAGTGTTTATCAAAGAGCTGTGCCCACTGTCAGGACCCTGCTCACTGCCACCTCCATACTTTTACCACACGGGGCTCCCCAGCTGACCACTCTGCCTGGCTGATATGAGTATCAACTGTTTCTCTCACATCTTCCCCTGCCCTGGAAACAGTACCCACTAACCCACTGGGAAGCACAGTAATATTTCAGTGGGATGGACCCCCATCCCTGCCAGACAGGATAAACGATGCCCCTGGCTACAATACTTAGTTCAGGCCTGGGCAAGTGACCCAGTCGGAGCCAAGGCAATACTTGCCAGGACTTCTAGAAATAAAAAGCCTTGTTTCTTTTCTGGAGGAAATACTAGAGGGGATTCTGGTTTCCCTTGGATGGTGTGGAGTAGAAGATTGAGGGGCAGCATAGTAGCAGCTGTTGGGGGAACATGTGGGCAGAGCCTGAAGCTAACAGGTTGCCAGGGTGGGGGTACCATGGGAAGCCTGAAGACTCAGAGAAATCTTGAGTCCCTCAGTGTGATGGTTTGAACTGCTGGATCGAACTTTGCCTGAAGGCACACAACCTCTGACTTCTTCTAGAAAATAAGCAACATTTTCCCCTTATAGTTTAAACCCATCGGAGCTGGGTTTTCTATTGCTTGAACACGCAAGACTTTTAACTGCTACACCATCCCTTTTCTTTCTATCCACTGAGTGCATCTTTCCCCTGAAACCATGGGAAATCACCAGAGTTGCTCCTCTTCCGGCCTTACCTTCCAGCACAGTGAGGGCCAAGGTCGACGGGGACACAGAATAGGAGGCCCCTCAGGGTCATCACTGAGGGCGGTACCTGCACAGTCCTCATAGAAGAGGTGCAAGTAGGAGCGGACCCCGTACCACTTGCCGTCTTCCACATTGGGGCTTGGGCCACAGCCACAGGGACGGTCACAGTTCGGCATCATGGAGTCCTGTGGGATGGGCAAGGTTCAGAGGACAGAGGGAAGGGTCAGTGAGAGCTGCCTGTGGCGACCCTCCCGGGCTCCCTGAATCTTTGCGTCCCATCCACTTCTCCCATTTATGACACCCCACGCTCAGAGCACAGCCTGGCCTTCTGGAATCCTGGCCTGGGTTTCCCTCGTATACAGTGAATGAGCCAGTGCACTGAAGGGCTCAGCCCAGTGCCTGGCAATTGGAGGTGCCAATAAAGGTGTGTGTTTGCTCTGGAGGCCACTCGTGGCTGGGGCTGTGGGTTCTGGAGCCTCACTGTCTGGACTGGAACCCCTGATCGACCATTTCCTGGCTGTGTGACCTTAGACCAGCCGTGGGCAAACTACGGGCCCGCGGGCCGGATACAGCCCATTTGAAATGAATAAAACTAAAAAAAAAAAAAAAAAGCCCGTACCCTTTTATGTAATGATGTTTACTTTGAATTTATGTTAGTTCACACAAACACTCCATCCATGCTTTTGTTCCGGCCCTCCGGTCCAGTTTAAGAACCCATTGTGGCCCTCGAGTCAAAAAGTTTGCCCACCCCTGCCTTAGACAAATGCTTTCACTTTCCTAAGGCTTCGTTTCCTTACCTGTAAAATAGGGCTAATGATTACGCCTGCTTGGTACAGTTATTGTATCTTCTGGTAACTGTTGTGATTATGATTATTACTATTACTGTAATTTCTTCATTATTTTTTTTTATCCTGAACTTTTTGAGCCCCATATCTGGAGTGAGAGGTCCTCATCCCCATCTTCTCTCAAAATCTCCTCCTTTTTAGGGTATCCTTGGGGGTAGCTGTCCTGGCTGCAGTTAGAGCTCCACAAACAGTAGGGCCCTAAAAGACCCTCCCCCAGGGCTGCCCCTCAGAAGGCAACAACCTCCAAGGCCCAAGGACTCTTGACTCCACAGGAGGTGAAAGCCAGGGGCCCTGAGGATTAGGGGCTCGTAGGTTCAACAGCTGCTCGCTTTCCAAAGAACCCTGAGAACCCTCTTCTCACCAGTGGAGACAGGGAGGTTTCCGAGGGAAAGGCACTTATCCACACACAGGCACAACTAGAACCAAAGTCGCAGGTGGGGCCAGAGCTGGGGAGGCCTGGGCTCCTGCCCTCCCCCCTCCAAGGTCGGCCCTCAGCCCCCCTGAGCAGCTTCAGACAAAATAAAGCAGTGCGCTTACACTGAAGGGTGAGACAAACTTCCAGTCAGATGTGGCCCTCCAACCCCTGCACATACACGCACACCACGGAGACACACCAACGCAGACACACAAACACCACAAAGACTTACCCAGACAGGCCCCATATTATACCACACAGAGACACATGCAGATAAACACACACAGCACAGAGAAACACACAAAAACATGGAGACACACACGAACGGACAGAGACACACGTGCAGACAGCCACAGTGTGTGTTGGGGGTGACCCTGGGAGTCCCCACGGATCCCTACAAGTCACAGGCCTGCTGTGGTTAAAGCCTGTCTATAGATTGCAGCTCTTCACAGCCTTACCCACAGTCAGGCGAAAAAGAGAAAAAAAGAAAGAAAAAAATTGACAGAGAATGGGAAAAGGGGAGCTCTCCCTGGGATCACTGTGCCTGTGGCCCCA